GCGGAGAGCGGCCGCTCCCGCCGCAGCCCGCGCCAGCGCTGCCCTTCGCCTCTGCTGGGGGGGGGCGGCAGCGCCGCCTGGCGGGTGGGAGCCCGAACGAAATCTCGCAGGGCCGCCAAGACAAAGGGGAGAAGCCTCCTCTTCCCTCCTAGGGAGCCGAGCTGCTCGGCACAACGTCCCCGCGTGGGTCTCCACGTAAAGTGTGCCACGCTCTGGCCTGCGCTTCAGGAGAGCAGTAAAGTTCATTATTAACTGGAAGGAAGGACAACCTGAAACAGTGGAGGGGGAGGGGAGGTATTTTTGTGTTTCCCTCGGTCTTAGTAGTTTAGGAGCAAGGAATGTGCCTGCTCGTCGTCTTACCCCATCCCACAGAAGTGGTTTGGATCAAGGAACACGCACTTCACAAAATAAAGCAGGAAAGATGAAGCACTTAGAAAAAAAAAAAAAATTAAAAATCCCACACGTTCTTACTGCGATAGCCTAAGAACAGTGATCTAATTTTGTTCTCTTTCAAACTGTTACAAGGCATATATGTGTATATATATATGTGTGTATATATCCTCCAGGTTTCAGTGGGTGTCTTTCTGCTGCTCTGTTATCATTATTTCTTGCCTTGATGTGACGTTGAAGACAGATGACAGCATTGTCAGGTTGTCTTTAATTCATTTGAAGATTAAAAAAAAAAATACACACAAGGCTTCTTACAATATTCAAAGCCTGAACGGATTTACTTTTTTCACATAGGGGACGGGGTGGCTGGGAGGGGGAGCGGTTGATGAATTTCAGACATGAAGAGAGAACAAAGTCTGCATCACTGTGCGCACACACACGCACAGAACAAGCGGCCGGAGGTGGGATTTTTGCAGCAGCAGCACCTGGTTGCTCTTGATGGAGAAATACCCAGCATTAGGACAGCCTTTTCGCCTTTATGCACAAGCTCAAATGTATAATCTGCTTACATTTCAACTCCGTCTCTGCTGCCAAAGCATTCTACCTCCAAAGAGGTGGGAGCATACCAACTCAGGGTCCGTCTTTTTTCTTTTGACACCTTTTATGCTTCACCGCAACAAAATTTTACCTTTAAAAAAAAAATTTAAAAAGCGATCTGCCCCGAATTTCCTAGGTCTGAGCTGAGAGACTTAGCAGGGATTAAACACCTCCGATCAGGACTGATCGCTTGCCTGCCACAGGTCTGTTGTGAAGCAGTGTGGACTGTGTTTTGCGGTGCAGAGAGAATCGTGGGGTAGGGGTCTCATCTTGGGGTTAGAAATGTCTGAAATTATACCCCAAATCTGGATGGAAAGGAGATTTGATGCTGGTAACTCCAGCGATTTTCCAACTTTAGATTTGTTCCTTTAAAAAAACAAAAACCAAAACAACAACAAAAACCCACCACTACACACACACACAAAAAAAAACCAAAACAAAAACCCAAAACCCAAACGAACAAAAAAAACCCGAAACGGTGCTCTACTGAAAAAGCCTGTAGTGAGAGCCAACAGTATTAAAGCAAGGATGCATTTCTCTCCGTCTTTTCTAAATATGAAAGAATGAAGTTTGATCAATGTTTTTGCAGAATAGGAATGCACCTTTACTTTTGTTTCAAAAGCTTGGGCCTTCCAGGACTCCACTTAGCCCGGGTGATTTCGATTGTAGATGTGGGCAGTTCATTACAAACCTCGGATTAGAGAGAAGAGGGTCAGCCCCAGTCACCTCATTGCGCTTACCTTTCTGGCTGCGCTGAAGGTAGCTTCAAAGGTAGTGGATGGGCAGCGGGTGACTATCCGGACTTAGAAAATGGAGCCTCTTATCACTGAGGAAAATCTTCCCGTCATAAAAGCATCCTTGTATTTTAGCTCTAGCATACGTTTTGCACTCTAAAATCAGGCAAGCAAATGTATAGGTATGTGGTTGGTGTGGACTTGTACGCATAAGCCAAGATACATATGCCCATATAGGCTCAGATACATTACAGAAACTCTTTTGCTGTCTGTGGAGTCTGATGTTTTATTGTTTCATAAAACTAGCTTAATTACATTTCCCCATAGATAAGAGAAACAGAACCCTTCTTTTCTAAGCGTTCCTTATCAGAAGTATTTTGCCGAAGTGGCATCCAGAGTAAGCCTTTGAGAGGGGACGGAAATGCATTAATTTTTATTTTGGTTCTTCAGTTGCACTTAGCATCTGACAAGAGTTGATTTAAATATTACATGAGTTTATCTTTAATGTTCAAAAAGATTTGTGAGAAAGGCGAAACTGTTTAATTTAAACTAATGTATGCCTGACTCTGGTCAGATTGATCAAAGTTTCGGGGTTTGATGGGTTTTGCCCTTCTGTTGCTTGTCCTCTCGAGCTGGTTTTTCACTGTGAAATTATTTTAGTTCGGTGGCATGGACCAGCGGCTGCTGTCAACTCCACAACCCATCCAGTTAGTAAGAACGGGGATGGTGGGGGGAGGAAATAACAAATGCAGTGCTTTTACCTAAAAACATTATTGCCCGTAAGTCAATTTCTATTAGGAGAAAAAAAAAAAAAAACCACAAAAAAACCCAAAACACAACAAAAAAAACAACAAAACAAAAACCGAATTTCCTAGATTAATATAAAAATCCTAGGTGACACTTGCCATGTCAAATACTTAACAAGCCTGGAAGAGAGATCTTCTTACCACCACTGTACATGTAAAATAAGCTATTTTAATTTTTCATTAATCTCGGGAACAGTATCTGAGCAAAACAGTAATAACAACGTTAAGTGTTCATTTCGTCACTTGTATCAGAAATCTTTATGTGTGTACTTCTTCAGAGCTGAAATCCACAAAACTGCTGTTAGGGCTCCAGGACACAGAAATCCCTCTCGCGCTCTTTTTAAAACAGCCCCTGCAACACCTGATTGCTGATGGGTTTTAGCTAGCGAATTCCGAGCTGCAGCTGTTGGATATCTGTAATTGTAAAATACGTGAACAGAAGTGTATACAGTGGTGGTGGTTTTTAATCGCGGCAAATCTGTAATAGTTGCTTGCACACCCAGATGGAGCCTGAAATGTAATTTTCCTCAAATTAAGAGTAGTTAAAATAGCGAAGCGGGGAGGGCAGGCTGGCCGGGCTGCCCTGCCAGCGCACCGCAGCCGGTCTGCAGGAGAGGGCGGGGGGCGTGCGGCGTGGGGAGATGGTTGCGAGCTTGTTCTGCCTTTCTCGGACTCGCTGGACGAACTCTCCACCACCATCACCCCCACCCCCCCGAGCCGCAAAGCCCTTCTTTCGATTATTTGCTGTGTTTTATCCTCTTCCAATTTTGCTATTAAAGTTTACTTGGTGCAGTTAACAGCACTTCCCTCCCCTCCCTTTCCCTAACTCTTCAGTTCATAACGAGAACTCATTTTACATTCCCTAAAGCAGAGATGGTCCCTTCCCCATTTAATGGGGGAAAAAAACCCACGTTTGGTTAAAGCGCAAAGCATTTCCCGTTCCGCTTTCGGATCAGTTTCCGAAAAGACCCGCAGCGCGGTCCATCACCCGGCTCCCCCGTGTGCATCCCGGGCCCAGCCCGGCCCGGCCCGGGCCCGGCCCCGGCAGACGCGCCGCGCCGGGTGCCGGGACGGCCGGGCGGGCGCTGGAGCTTTCATTAGCTTGCTGCTTTTCTCTCCTTTGCACATTAACGCTAACTTCCGCTAATTATCTGGAGTAAATGCATTAGACTAATTAGGATCTGGGCACCACGGGAAACTTTGAACAGTAATTATATTGTGGGGGATACAGAAAGAGGGAGAAAACCCAGTGATTTGTCAAGCAAAGTCGCCGCTTGCAACTTTTCCCCCTGCCGGGGCGTCGCGCTGGGGCCGGGGCGAGGGCAGCCCGCAGCGGAGGGAGAGGGGCTGTGCGAGGGACAGCAGGTACTCGGCTCCGCCTGAGCCGCTCCCTGCAAGCGCCTGGCGGACCGCGGGAGCAAAGCCATTCGCTGGCATCGCCTGTACGGACTTGGGTATCGCTTTTCCGACTATCTCGGCGGCAACGGGTTGTTCCGCAGTTTCGGTAGCTGCTCTGGCTTTTCCGTCGCAGCCCCCGCTCCTACCTGAGTGCAGGACGACGAGCCGGAGCCGGGCGGTGGCCCTGGGCGCTGGGAAGCCCGGGCTGGGGAGGCAGAGGTGCGGCGCAGGCAGGGGTAGCCCCTCTCGGCATCACGTCGAGTTTGGCACTGCACTTCAGTCAAGAGCAAACTTGGATCAAATAATGGATGGACTTCTTTTTTTCCCCCTTTCCCTTCCCTTTTAAAAGAAAATGCGTCCTCAGAGCAGTCCGATTTTTTTTTTTTTTTAACGTGATGATCGTTTGTGCTGCGGTACGAACTGAAGAAAGAAATTAAAAATAACTGGATGAGATCAAACAGCGCTTCCCCTAATTGCTTCTGAACTTCTCATTTAGAAAAACAGACGAATAGTTATGCATTACACTGTAAAAAAAAAAAAAAAAAGCTTTCAGATAATCTTCTCTTTTACAAATAAGTCCTGCCTTCCTGTTTCTTTCTGAAGAAAGGATGAGGTCTTTTAATTGAAACCCAGTTTTAAAAAAACAGGTTTTCACAGTAAAAACATTTTTTTTAAAAAGTTAATCTTCCTTAGGAAAGCGAGAGATTTAACCGATTCTCAGTTTTCCTATTCGTGCCTACGAATTCTACTGAAGGGGAAAAAAAAATCCTCCCGTCTGCTTTTTTTTTTTTTTTTTGAGAGAGAGAGCAAGCAAGCCCTGGGGTTAAAATAAAAAAACTTTTGTTTTTTTTTTTTTTATTTTTAATTAAAATTGAATAAACGCTTAAGGAGAAATTAGCAGTTGCCTCCATCCAAGACCTACTCAGGTTTTGTAACAGAATCAAAGCGTATTTAAAAAAAAAAAAAAAGTAAAACCTTTTAATACATCAAATATACGGAATTTTAATCTTTAAAGCGATACATTGTCTATTTTAGTACATGACGTAAACCTTACTTAACCCTTTTTACAGGGTGGACTTAAAAATTAAAAATAGTTAAGTGTTCCTTTTAAAGAACAAAATAAGGCAAATGAGGTTTTTGGAATAGAATTGTTTTTGTTTTTCTTCCAGAATACATACAAAAAAATACCAATTCTCTTTCAAGGGTATACACCTTAAAAATAATTGCAATTTGAAATTATAACTGACAAATTGCGAGTTGTTTTTTAGTAACAAACATGCATGTAAATTTTTTTGTTTCAATGAGACATTAAATAAGAACGTACAATACAATCATAGCAATTTTAAAGTAACATTAAAGAGAAGACCTCTATCTTTTTATTTATATTCTACAATGGGTGTTCCACTTTTACCTATTGAGCTCAGTTAAGTAATGCACTTTATGATTCGTTGTCCCGCTTGAAGCTAACATAAATAAATACAGTGCTCATGGATCCAGTCCTCAAATGAACACTATTTTATAAAAAGTCTGATTTTTTTTTTTCTTTCCAACTTTTATAAAGTTTTGCAGGGCTTCCTTCCCCCACCGCTAGCCTCTGTGTTGTGTGTCAAAGCCCCGCTGCCTGCGCTCACTGGTACCCCAGGGCCGAGGCTGTGGTGAGTCTCTGCCCGTAGAGTGCATAAGGGGAGTAGTAGGGTCCGGTGGCGGCGGGCACGGGCACGGGGGCCCCGGGGGTGGGCAGGGGGCTCTTGGAGTAGGGGTGGTAGCGGCTGCCAAGTCCCAGCGCATGGTGTGGGCTGCGCAGGGCCAGCGTGCCTGGGCTGCCTGGGGCGCCCGTCGTGGGGATGTGCATGTGGCACGCCATGGCCGCGGCTGCTGCACTGGCCAGCGATGAGGAGCTGGGGTAGCTGGAGAGGAGTTTATCGGTGCCCGGGAAGGCAGTATGGGTCCGCAAGTGGCTAAGCAGCTCCTCTGAGGTGGCGAAGCGCTTGTCGCAGGGTCCGTTGGCTGACACCCAGTTGCAGATGTGTGGCTGGGGGTCGTTGGGGAGCATGAAGCCGTAGGGGTACAAAGGGTGGCCGGCCAGCGAGGGCGGCGTAGCGCCGGTCAGCGAGGAGTGGACGCTGTGCAAAGGGTGGGTGGGGTAGACGAGGGGGTATCCGGACTTGAGGGCCTGGTCATGGGCGCAGGAGGCGCCGGCGGCACCGGCCAGGTGGCTGGCGCAGTGGTAGCTCAGGCAGTACGGGTCTCGGCACAGGCTCGCCGTCATCACCGACGGCGGCGACGCTCCCGCCAGCGGGCTCGACCCCGCCGGCTTGCTGCAGCCCAGGCTGCTGGCAGCGGCCAGCTGGGCCCCCACCAGGCTGGAGGATTTGGTGGGGTCCAGCGTCACTCCGTGCGGCAGGAACTGGGGCGGATAGCCGGCATAGGCTCCAGCCAGTGTCCCCGGGTAGCTCATGCCCGCCGGGGGCAGGGGGAAGACAGTCTGGCCCGGCTTGTAAGGGGAGACGGGGGCCACGAGGCCGGAGCCCAGGACGGAGGTGGAGGAGGTGGCGGTGGTGCTGCTGCAGGAGGAGGCGGAGTCCGAGGCGATGGGCTTGGAGCCCGGCGTGCTCTCCTGGTGCTGGTTGACCTCCACGTTAATCCCGGCACAGCTCACGCTAATCCGGCTGTGGCTGATGCTGGTGGTGCCCGGGCCTCCCTCCGAGCCGGAGCTGCCGCTCTTTCCGCAGCCCTCCGAGTCCTTCTTGTCCTCCCCGCCTTTGCCCTCGGCCGGCAGCAGCCCCGGCGAGCAGGCGGAGGCGCTGGAGTTAGGGCTGCCTGTCCTTGGGGTGAACGGCTGGCAGGTGGCGCTCGGCACCCGGAATCCCGACTTCTCCCCGGCCGCGACCCCCGCGGCGGGGGCGCCCGCGCAGCTCGCCGCCCCCGGCTCCTTCTTCTCCGCGCCCGGCTTGGAGTATGGCTTGAAGCTCGACTTGTCCTCCACGCCGATGTCGCTGAGCTTCAAGGGGCCCGACTTGGAGTCCTTGTCGCCTCCGGAGCCATTGGAGGTGACCGAGGAGAGTTTGGAGGAAGGGGACGGGTCCGGCTTCCCTATCTGCGAACAAGTTTGTGCCAAAAGGGCCAGGGGACTCTTCTTCGCGTCCAGCTGCGGAAATCAGAAGGACACACAAAGACAGAGGTTTAATCGGGGTCTAAGAAAAACCCCGGGGCTTAGCTCAGACGCTTGTCCCGTACGTTTCTGCAGCGTAATGCAACTAATGAACAATTTTGTGCGCATTCATCACCCTGACAGCCCCCTCCCCTGCATGCACCATTTTCCACAAAGCCTTTATAAAGGGCTGGGGATTTTTATACCCCTGCGAGCCCACCGCGGCCGCCTTCAGCGCCCGCTGTTTCCCCGGCAGCGGCCCGGGCAGCGCGGAGCTCGACGCCTCGGCGTTTGTTTCCCCGCCGCTCCGGCCGTGCAGGCGCACAAACCCGCCCGTGAACTATAACGACTGCAGCATTTCTGCGCCCTGACTGCTGACGCTATTTATAAACAGAGCCTGAGTTAGCCGGCGAGACGGGCGCCGGGGGAGAGGGGTGTCCTGGCTCCGCAGAGACCCTAATGAAATCATTCATTCCCACGGACACACCCTGCCCATCACCCGCGCCGTTTCGAGTTTCGGTCCCGCAAACAGCGAGCTACCCAGAGGGGGACCGACAACGTCGACAGAGGAGAGACGGGGCGAATAGGGCCCCCGAAGTACAAACGCGTGTCGGTACTTGAAAGGGAACGGTCGGGGAGCTGAAAGTTATCCTGCCGCACCCACGCTTGAGCCTGACCCTGACCCTCTCCGCGCCCCCCCCCTTTCCTCCTCCTCCCCCCACTCATCTAAACGCTCCCTGCAAAAGCGAGGTTGTTTGGCACTCGGAGCGCTGCTTAGCTGCGTGGCCGGATCGTGACCCCAGAGCAGGTCGCTGCCTTCCAGTCACCCCTCCTCTCAAAAAAAAAAAAAAAAGCTAAAAAGAGCAAAAATTAAAAGTTAATTTACACAGGAATTAGAAAACGTCCCAGTAAACGTGGAAACAATAACCAGGAGCGGTTCCTCGCACTAACTCTGATCAAAAGCAGCCCGTTTCCTGGTGTAACCGCATTTCAGAGCGCAGGAAAGTGCCGAGGGAGGCTGGCGGAGCCGCCATGCAGAGCGAGCGCCCGGGCAGGGAGGGGAGAAAGGGCCGGGGCCGGCTCCGAGGTCCTTACCTCGATGGGGCTGACGGGCGTGGAGGGTAAAGGCTGCAGGTATTCGGGGTGTAAAATGTGTCCAGTCCGCGCAGTGAGCATTTTCAACACTTTGATGGGAAGGCGGTTGGCTTGGCGTAGCGGGTCCGAGGGGGGGACGGCGTGGAAGCAGGGCTTGGCGGCGGCGGCGCTGCTGCCGTTATTCCCAGCGTGCCCGTTCGGCCCGGCGAGGTCGGCGGCGCTGCGGCTGCGGCGGGGGCTGCCTCCGGGCTCGCTGAGGCTGCTGCTGCGCTTACTACTTCTTATAGCAGAAAGCGAGGGCGATGTGATCATGACCCAAAACCTCGCATGAAAACTGGGGCAAGTGGCGCCGCTCGCACTCGGAAACGCTCGCTCGCTTTCTGCGGGCGAGGAGGGAAAAAACCCACACGCCCCCCGAGCAGGAAAACAAACATAAAATGTCCCGTGGCTCTCTCTGGCGGGGAGGGCGTGGGTGGGGAGGGGGAGGGAAAGGGGAAGCCGGCCGGAGAAAAAGAAGAGGAAAAAAAGCCGAGTAATCCTTGGGCTGTGCTGGGGGCGGGGGTGGAGGCTGCGAGCGTGTGCCGCTGTCCCCCTCGGCCGCTCTCGGCTGCCCCGGCTGGCCCGGTGCGGCGCGGAGCGGAGCGCTCGCCTCCGCCGCTCAGCTGTGATGCGAGCCGCTGCCCATCCAGCCCGGGATCTGGCAAAGAAACTCACTTCAAAAGCAGCTGAATTAGTCTGAGATTAAAGCCTTTGCCGCCTTCCAATCAAATGGGACCCCGAGGTGATTGGAGGGTCAAGGGGATGTGACGTTCCCTTTTCTGGGGCTTTTTTTCTCTGTTTTTAATGGTCTCTCGGTTTTTTTTTTTCCCTTCCTTTTCTCGTCCGCCTTCCCTCTCCCCTCCCCTCCTTCCTTGTTTTCGCTCCTAGGACGGGCTGGGCGTTAATTCTGTGTTTCACATCACGCGCTGCCAACGTTTTTCTTCCTCTGCAGCCAGCGTGGATAGCCCGGCAGCAGCGAGGGCGGCCGTGGCGCTAGGGGCGCCGCGCCTGCCGAAGGGGGGCCAG